ACTTCGGCATTGAATCAGCTAAAATGACGTCTGTTCGCTGTATTATCTTGATCTGCATTGGTCACAAATTCAGATTCAAAATCGAGGTAGCCAGGCCGTATGGAGTCTGTCTAGAGCTGGAGCGTTACGAGAGCTTCTGTTCCTGTTTCAGACCTCCGTGTTTCGCAGTGACTGCCACCGTACCGATTGTTTGGTCGAAGAAGCATACCGCGGTTTCTCTTCAGCCATATATGACAAGAATTATTAATACCGGGAGTCGAGATGCTTCCTGTTAATCGGCATCGCCTCTGAATGCGGCGGCGAAACGTTCGTTTTCTCCTTGCCGAATATTTGTGCCTGAGGCGACGTTAGCAGTCAGTCGAACCTACGTTCGACGTTTGCTGGTGGGAGTTGCGTCGAGTGCAGAAACTTGCAGCACCCGCCAAAACGTGGACGAATGCGCGGTGGTCGACTGACGATGGCCGTTTTGCATTGCATGAATGAAGCGAACAGTTGTGAGTATCCATTTGCACTCGATGTGGGAGCGTGCCAGTGGATCGATGAACGTGTCTGCAAGCGCCGGGCGCAAACGCCAGCTTCGAGGTCCGGTCATGTCCATAGCGCCGCCGCATTGACGGAAACATACTTTGCTTCTGTTGTGGAGGTTGCTGACGCGGTTTCTGCGGCTTCTCTTGCATGGCACTTCGATTGTGCATGAAATGGCTTTGTGCGAGAGTGACAAAAGGACGAACGCAAAGCCTCGGCCTGGTCTTTTAGCCATGCTACATATGCGAGTCAGATCAAGTGAGGCGAACAGTTGGAGGTGAAGTAGGAGACACTATGTTTCGGGCTGAAAGATTCATGCTCTCTCAGGATTTAAGGAGTGAACGGCGGAATTGCACTTCTTTCCTTGTTGTAAATAGTCATTTCAAAACTTTGCAGCTTGTTCAACAGGCGATTCGTCAATCGTCGTCCTTGCGCTAGTGCATGTCTACGAGAGGTCGTTGATTACACTTAAGCCTTGCTGTCTTCGACCAAGCTGACAAATCGCGCGTTATGGTTCCCCGTTAACGGTAATCGCCTGGCTATGCGGCCGTCTCGTTTGTGCATTCTTTGTGGATTCCTGTTATTGCGCTGACCGCTTTACGGCTGAACGTTGCTTTCAGTTATCCAGGTTGTCAAGCTGCCGTCGGATCTCACACTAAATTCCCTTAATAAGCGTTGAAAACCGGTGCATTATAGGCATTTTGAGGTAATCGATTTTGCTTTACGTTTTGTGCACACTGCATCATTCGACGACGATTTTTCCCCTCAATATAAACTTCGTTAATGTGGAAGCATCTCTCCCTTGTATTTTTGGCGGTCATGAACCACTCACGATTGCTGCTCGAGTGATAATCGTCTATTTTGCGATACCGTCTGTCGAGCGAT